TCAACAGTGAGGAATTTCTGGGCGAAGTAATAACTGCCCTTGAAATCTTTGCTGTTATGTGCAAGGGGGAAGTTATTGAACAACCTCCTTTTATAGTACCATCAATAGTGCAGCCATTACTGCAGGAGTTTAGTGAGTTGGTGCCGAAAGACTTACCTGATAGTCTCCCTGGGGGACATTCAGCACCACATTGACTTGGTGCTCGGGGCGAGCCTGCCAAATCTACCACATTACCGAATGAGTCCCAACGAGAGTCAGATCTTACAAGAGCAAGTGGAAGAATTACTACAGAAAGGGTTGATTTAGGAGAGTATGAGCCCATGTGCTGTTCCGGCCTTGCTAGTACCGAAGAAAGATGGCAGTTGGAGAATGTGCATTGATAGTCGCGCAATTAACAGAATCACTGTCAAGTACTATTTTTCCCATTCCACGGTTGGATGATATGCTGGATATGTTGGCGGGATCAAAAGTCTTCACCAAAGTGGACCTCAAGAGTGGATACCATTAGATCAGAATCCGTCCAGGGGATGAGGGGAAAATGGCGTTCAAGACAAAAGAAGGACTATACGAGTGGTTAGTCATGCCATTCGGATTATCCAACGTGCCAAGGACTTTCATGCAGTTGATGAATCAAGTACTCAAACCATTTATTGGTCGATTTGTAGTTGTTTATTTCGATGATATTCTGGTTTATAGTCAAACAGAGGTAGAACTTGAGAGAGGTATTAACAACTTTGCAGAAGAATAAACTGTTCATTAATCTGAAGAAGTGTAGATTTTTGAACCCAAGCCTAGTATTCCTCGGCTATATGGTTTGTAGTGATGGCATTTGGGTAGATGAGGAGAAGGTGAGGGCCATTTAGGAGTGGCTTACACCGAAGAATGTGGGAGCAGTACGCAGTTTCCATGGCTTAACCATGTTCTACTGAAGGTTTATCAAGAACTTTAGTAGTATTGTGGTTCTCATCATAGAATGCATGAAGAAAGGAAAATTCTAATGGGGAGAGGAAGCTGAGATAAGTTTTGCCTTAATGGAAAAACTGTCAACAACCCCAATCTTAGTCCTTCTAGATTTTGAGAAGCTATTTCAGGTAGATTGTGATGCCTCAATGGTGGGAATTGGAGCATTTCTATCACAAGAGGGAAGGCCAGTAGCGTTTTACAGTGAGAAGCTGAGTGAAGCACACAAGAAGTGGACTACCTATGAGTTGGAATTCTATGCGGTGGTGCAAGCTTTGCATACATGGGAGCATTATCTTATCCAGCAAGAGTCGTGCTGTTCACAGATCATCAGGCACTGAAATCCATTAACAATCAAAACAGGGTTAATTGGATGCACGTGCGATGGGCGACTTGTATCCATCGATTCACCTTCTCGCTAAAACATAAGTCAGGCCAACGGAACAAAGTTGCAGATGCACTAAGTCGGAGAGCAGCTTTCTTAGTGACTATTGATGTGGTGTAAATGTTATCAATAATAAATACCACTCGCAATAGCACGAGTGATTGTAGGACAAGGCTATAGTAAGGGTTGTCGAACCACAAAGATTGCTAGTTTATGGCAACGAAGGTTGTAAAATTAATTTTTAGTTTGATATAGGAGATGATAGTTTGATTGGTTTGTCACTTTAAGCTATGAATTGAAATTTCATAAAAATAGAAAATAAAATGAATTTAAATAAGATAAAACTTATGAAGAGAAGGTTAGGGAATTGAATCCACCACAAACCTCATAAACTTGCTCGCTCAATTGCAATTAACTTGGGGAACGAGCCATGTATACAACCATGATATATAGAAATGCATGATTACTACATTATCTTCAAGAATTTCATATAATTAAGAATTAAGTGTAATCCATCCAAGGTTGGCATGCTTCCTCTACCTAAACTAGGGTGTAGATTAAAACATGTTTCTTAAGCTATTGACTATCACATTTCTCAATATATATGGTAGATGCACATGAAGTAAAAAACTAAGCCATAATCCATCAAAGGCGTCCCTAAGCCTTGGACTATCAAAATCTTCACACAACATGCCATTAAAACCATTTCATAGTCTCATCTTTATTCTCATTATAAAGATGCAAGGATTATAATTATGAGAAATTGAAATCTAAGACAAGATAAACAATTCCACATAGTCATTTATTTGAATGAAATCCAATTACAACACGTGTAAATCTCTAGACTATGAAACTTGTCATATACATACATTATTCCTCAAATCAAAATACAATCCAGGCATGTTTACTTGGAAGGGCTTCATCAACTCCCTAGGAAGGGAGTTAGTTCTTCATGGCAGTAGCTACACGGTGTGATGAAGAAGAGAACTCCAACCCCATGGTTGCAGTAGCCTCCATTCAAAACTCAGCACAAACCCTAATATTTTTCTCTTTTTTTCTCCAAAATCAATTTTAATAATAATCATCCTCCCTCTTCTTTTCCCCCCTATATCTCTATTTAAAACCAAAGAAAATAAGTTTTCAAAAATCCCCCAGTCGTCACCTATATTCCCTAATACAAGGGAATAACTTAACAAAAAGAGAGAGAGTGAAACATTTTTTTTACTGTTCGCAGGTTGGCGTCCGAACGCAGGAACTAGCGTCCTGACGTGAAGTGCTCTGGTGCTACCTTGCGCGCACGTGAGGAATGCCATTGTGTAGCTGCAACGCTCGGCGTCCGGATGCAAGGCAATTTCCGTGGCCCAAATGCAACTTTATTGCATTTCTTCAGGCTTGGACCATTGAGTCCTCTTTCGTCCGTACGCATTGCTGAAAGTTTCCATAGGTCCATTGGACCCTCTTTTCTTGAATAGCCCTGGATGTTGAAGCCCGAAATGCATTTGATCTTCAAAAGCCCTTAAAATCTTATTTTTATTTCTTTTTGGAGAATACACTTGAAAATAGACAAGAACACAAAAACACCTATAAAGTAAACATTATTAGCATAAAAATGGACTAAGCTATGCAATTAAGGGCGCTTGAATATGTAATATTTGGCGCTTATCAACTATAAGGGCTGAAATCATAGGGTTCGAGTGCTTGAAGGAGTTATATGAGGCCGACGAAGATTTTGGCCAAGCCTGGGCAGCATGTAAAACGAGCCGATCCTTTAAAGGGTTGCACATGCAAGAAGGATTTCTCTTTAATGGCAATCAGTTGTGTATTCCACGCAGCTCTTTGCGGGAGCAAGTGGTTCGTGAATTGCATGGAGGAGGATTAGGAGGACATTTAGGGCACGATAAGACGTGAGAGTTGGTAGAAGAACGGTATTATTGGCCGCAACTCAAGTGTGATGGGGAGAACCATGTGCAACGGTGCTCAATCTGCCAAACTAATAAAGGCTAATCTCAGAATATTGGTCTTTACACACCGCTGCCTATTCCAGATGCTCTGTGGGAGGATTTGTCCATAGATTTTGTTCTAGGGTTGCTGAGGACGCAGCGAGGAGCAGACTTTGTTTTTGTGGTGGTCGATCGATTTTCCAAGATGTCCCATTTTATTGCATGCAAGAAGATGAACGATGCAGTCCAAATGGCCAATCTGTTCTTTAAGGAGGTGGTTTGTTTACATAGGGTGCCACAGTCTGTTACCTCAGAGCATGGCACCAAGTTCGTGTCTCACTTTTGGTGGACTTTATGGAAGAGATTCGATGCCTCTCTTAATTTCAGTAGCACCAGTCACCCCTAGACTGATGGCCAAACAAAGGTGGTGAATAGGACCCTTGGAAATCTAATTCGCTGTATTTTAGGAGAGAAACCAAAACAGTGGGATCTTGCTCTTGCCTGGGCAGAATTTGCTTACAATTGCATGGTTAACAGGTCCACTGGCAAATCCCCGTTTGCGATTGTGTATTGCTGTCCTACAAAAGTTGCTCTGGATTTGGTATCCTTACTGAAGTTGTCGGAGGAGTGTTGCTGCAGAGAAAATGGCTGAGCTAATTAAGACCATTCGGGAGAGTGTCAAGAAACATCTAGAGGAAACTTACGCCAAATACAAGGCCGCAGCTGACAGAGACGAAGAAAAAGAGTATTTGAAGAAGGGGATGAGGTTTCCAGTGGGAACATACAACCAGCAGCAGGCCAAGAAATATGGTCCGTACCAGATTATAAAGAAAATCAACGACAATGCCTATGTGATTGATTTGCCTGCTGACATGGCCATTTCTTCTACCTTCAATGTGGCTGACATACATGAATATTATCCGTTAGATTCGGGTAACTCGGGGACGAGTTCTTTTTACGCAGGGGAGTGATGTAGAACAGCTCGCTCATGATTATCTGAGCATACATGATCATCGCAAATCAAGGAGGCTAAAAAGGTAAGGAGAATAGAAGAAAAATAAATAAATAAATAAGGAAAAGTCAAAAGGAGATTTGGTGTAGTTGCCAGCAATAGAAGATATTATTCTTCATTGCAAGAATTAAGGAGGATTCAGAAAATAAATAAGAAGATTTGGTGTAGTTGCCAATAATAAAAGATATTATTCTCCATTGCAAGATTTAAGGAGGATTTTACTCTATCAAATCTCAGATTTCCCCTTTAATGTTATTTCACGCATGTTTTCTTTTTTTATTTTATTTTTGGCTTGCCTATATAAAGGCAGAGACGTAAGTCCACAGACATCATCATTATCGATATAATTTCAGTTTCTCTCTTGTAAGTGTGTTCTTTGTGAATTCAAAGGTTTAACCCTGTTCTTTATCGTTTCCGCTACATTAGAAATATGGATTCTATAACAGATTCCATGGACACCTGAACACATTTCTTTCCTACTGCAGCAGGTATATATGGTAGAGCGTAGTTTCCTGTGGAACTTCATGCCAAGAATTCATTGGTTATTTTGCCTCTAGTAAATTCAGTATTAGTTGTAGGATGACTATTATTTGGTAGATTAGTTGTTTTGCAAAAATTCTGTCCTCTTCTTTCATATTTTGTTCTGCGTGAAGAAGGTTAGACACTTGGAGCTTAAAAAAGTACTCATTATTTTTCTGTGCAGACTACGCGATCAACATCTTACTCCACATAATTTTGTGCAACTGAAGAAAGCTCTTGGACAATATTTCCGATCATCTTCATTCATAGGAGCTAAATACAAAGAGCATAACTTTGCTTCCGTCTCTCCCAATATCCTAAACGGTGATCCACATTCAGCAGAGCTGAAAATATTCGCAATCCCATTTAAGAATAAGGATGACTCCCCTAGGGCACAGTATGACAGTCATACTTGTCTGTTATGGAAACTACGGGATCAGGTCTCTCTCTCTCTCACACACACCCCCACACTTCTGTTTAGCTGGCATGTTTCCACTAATATTGCTGCAGTCTTTATTTATTTATTTGTTATTATTATTATTATTAATTTCTTGATAAAAAGAAGTCTGTGTCATTGAAAATATAGGAATTACTTGAATTGAAGAAGTTCCTTTATGTCTTCAGGTTTTATCCATGAATGGTCCATCCTTTGCAAGAACAGTATCTGAACGTGACTGGCTGAAGAACTCTGCTAAGATATGGGAACTAGTGAAGAACTCTCCAATTATTGCCGAGTATAGCAGAACGCTTCAAACTTCGGGAATGTTTAGGAGGTAGCTACAAGGTCATGATCTCTCTCTCCCATAGCGGACACGTTCATATTTTGCATTGTCTGGGAAGATATATTCAGTTTTCATGTCTTTTGCCTTGTTATTCACTTATTCGTACACTGCAGATTAGGGTTCTTAGGGTTTTGTTATTCACTTGTTCTATTTAGTTGGGGTAATGTTTTTCATGACTTAAAAACTTCCAGCACTTGCTAATGGATTTAAACGCTGGACAGATGCTCTTTTAAATTTCTATTTTTATCAATGTAGATTTTTAACTGGATCAATTATGCCTTTATTAATCTCAAATAAAGTAACTCAGACACCCGTTTCAGACTAACATTTTTCACTTTAAAATACTAGAGCTGAAAATGGCAAAATTGTTTCAATTCATGAAAATTTTCATGTAACACTAATGTTACAGTTTTATGATTACAACTTATTGCTCTATGTTCTGTTGATACAGTATGTTCCATTTTTTTGTATTTAAATACGACGCATTGATTTTAAGTTTCTAGATGGGAATTGGGGTTCTGGGAGCAATCCTTTTGTGGTGAAAATAATTAAATAAAACTTGGTTGTTTATTTATAGAATTTTATTTATTTATTATTATTTTTTTATGAATTAAATTATTTTAGAATGTATGCCTCTGCATATGTAACATTTTGTTTTCTATTCCAAAACATGCAAATCATAACCGCCTTGTTGTCATTAGTTCTTACCATCAAAATCAAAACCTCTGTAACAATGTGGGCGTAGATAATCTAGAAAAAGATATCACTTTGTATATGGGATTACTCTTGCTTTTCAGTGACTAGTTCCAAGAATTAAAGTGTATTTTAATTTAGTTTTTTTAGAATAATTATTTTCAGATAATAGAAAATAGGGAAAACTACCCGATTTAAAGAATAGGTTCAATTTTTTTTATTATGGTATTGGTATAATATATATATATATATGCTCAACCTGTATTGGAAAAAAAAAGAAAAAAATCACACTAGCTATCTTCTTGTCTTTTCATAATTTTTTTGGACATGAAATCATACAATGTCAACTAGTGCACACATGAGTAAAATTTTATTTCAATTTAGTACGTAAAAAATTCTTCTCTATATACAAAAACTGCTCCGTGTATTATCCTGTGATGCCCATTGTTAAACCAGTGAAGAAAAAACCCAAACTCTACAGTCTCTCTACTTATGCTTGAGAAGATTACAACTGAGGTGTCTTACGGAGGAGCACATCAACTCTCACCTCCTTATATTGACACTTGGCCTTACAATGAATGGTTAGAATCTATACAAGTGACTTTAATCTAACGTGGAGATAGTACTATAATAAGATTCTAGAATCCTCCGAAGCACAATCTCTACAACTTTACAAATATCTATGTTGTACAACTCTGTACAACTCTGGACAATCTCACACTGCCTCAGAGAATAGAAACTAAATAGATGCTTTATTGGAAGCATGGTGTGTGTGTGAGTCCAACTTTAAAAATAAAAGATAGGGTAAAATACAAAAAACTCCCTGAACTATTGAAAAATCTGTAATTAATTTTCTAAACTTTAAAAATTGCAAGAAACTCCCTAAACTATGCAAAAAAGTTACTGAACATCCATTCCGGCCAAGTTCCAGTGAAAGTTGACCGTTTAAAAAGAGTTCAATTATTTTAAAAGACCATACTGCCCTTACACGCATGAAAAGACTAAAATGCCCTTAATTTCCCTAGACCCTCATAGTGGCATACCCAAACACGCCCTTACATACATATATATATATTACAGATCACTGTTCACCATCTTCAACACCTACGTTCGTGGATCAACACCGACAAGCTCTTGCAAGGTCTTACACACCGAAAGCCGTTTAACCCAAACCACACTAAAAACCCACTGCCACCATCATCATCACCGAAGCAATCCATCGCCCTGCCACCATCATCGCTGAAGCAATCCATATTGAACCACCTAATCCACTACCATCACTACCGCCATAACGTCAACCAATCGAGCCTCAAACTTCTTTCAAACCCAATCGAATCCTACAAATTAACCCACCGTCACCATCATCATCTCCTCTCTGTGTTCTGAAATTCAAGAAATCAAAACGTTGCACGAATCACTTGAATCGGTGGAGACTCATCTGAGCCGACTCAGTCAACTCGTCACCCAGCCGCATAATTGGCCCAGCTGCTCAATCACAGTCTTCCTGCCTATGTGAACAGCGAATTGGCTCTAGTCGCCAAACTGGAACTCAACACGAATGGCCCGAGTCACCAAACTGGAACTCGCTTACTCATTCAAAACTAACTAGATCGCCGATGACCGGGCGTACCGCTACACGTTTCAGGAGGACTACGACAAAGGGCAATACCAGAATTTTACTCACGAAGTACCTGATCAGAGTCACCGGTGTGAACTTCTTGCCATCGACTGCCGCAGAATTAGGTTTTGCCGCTGCGTCACCGTCGCCTTTCTTCTTCTCTTCTAGCGGCAACCAGATCCTCACCGGCATCATCATGACAGGTACTCCACCTTCCTTCGTGGGTCAGCAACTTTCAAGTTTGGCGGATCGCCGGAGTTCAAATCATTCACGGCACACTCGTCCGCCGCCGCCGCTACCATTTTTCCGCGATAAAAGTGATAAAGATTGTTGAATTTAGGAAGGTTGGGTTAGGGGTTTGGTTGTTGTGTGGGTTAGAGGTTTGGTTATTGTGCGGGTGAGGTAAATAAAAGAGATAAGATTGTTGTGTTGTCGCAATCCTATTGACTGTTGTGTGGATGATTTATATGTTGTGCGGGTGATTTATGAGTTATTGTTTTTTTATAAGAAACTGTGTATTGGAAGGGTAGTTTTGTCCTTTTCTTTTTCCGGTGGCCTGAGTAGGCAAATTGCAACAAATTCATAGTCTAAGGGTTTTTTTTGTAATCCAAGGGGGTTAGTTGCAAGATCTCAATAGTTCAGGAAGTTTTTTTTGTAGTCTAAGGAGATTAGTTGCAAAACCCCAATAGTTCAGGGTTTTTTTGCATTTTACCCTAAAAAATAAAATAAGGCAAAATGGCAAAAGTGAAATCACTAATCAGACAAACAAACAAAAAAATTATTGTCGTTGATACACTAAAATTCGTTGTTCCATTAAACTTGGATACATCAGTCCAGAATAGGAACCAAAATCATACAAAAAGGATTGCTCTCTTTTTTACATCACAGCAATAATTTCCTCCATTAACTGCAAAACAGACTCTCCTTATAAGTAAAAGCTTGCAAACAATAAAAACCATAACTCTTCACCTCAAGTTGAAGATCTTTAATTCGTTTGTTATTACGATCATACAAGATGAAATGGTAGCAATAATTTAGAATAGAATAGTGTTACCGAAGACTTGCAATAAATTGTCTAACATAATGATTTTTTGATTAGTTATTTATGTAAAATACAAGTAAGTGGAGGATCCTACTCCCTTATTTGTTGCATAAATAATTAATTAAAAGTGACAGGTCTAACAATTTACTATAACTACTTGGTGCAAAAATCACTTTTTAAAAATAATACTGGTCACAATGTTTACTTGTCTACTTGTTTATTATGAATTCACTCCCTCCCCCTACCTTTCCTCCCACCGCCACCACCATGGCCACCGTGACCGGCACTATAACACAACCCACAAACACCCAATTTATCATGATAAAAAAAAAGATGAGGATTTGCCTACGTTCTTATCACTCTTGATTCAAATTTTGATTCATGTTTTCATGCAGGCATTGTTGCAACTATTTGTTTTTCTTGTTTTTGGAGGCTTTTCGTGAAAAATAAAATAAAATAAAATAAATAAATAAATAAAAAACTTTAATGCTAAAGGAGTATTGAGGTGTGAGAGTTTAAGACACACAAAACGTAGCGAATGGATTTGAGTCTTGTGTTCTAGATTTCAACAATCGACCCTATACAAAATTACTCTAAAGTAATCATAAATTAAAAAAAAAAAAAAAAAATAGTCACCACATTTAAAATTTAATTGTAGATTAAATGACCCCTTTAAAGTCATCCCACTTCAAGGTAAATTTATATATAATTTCTACACAAGTACCCATCTTCCTTTTTCTCTCACCAAATCAGTTCCTAATCTCACTTATTACTTAATTAGTAAGATTTTTTATTTGACGAGAAGTTCACTATGCGTAAGAGAGATGAGTGTGATCGTGTGGAATGTGTCAAGGGTAATTTAGAAAAGGACAATACTTAAGTCTTTTGAACCAATAATAAATGAATACGTACTATTTAATTGTAATATCATAAAAAAATCAAGGATTAATTACAACGACACCTCCTGAGGTTTGGGGTACTGACAGACATATATAAATTAGTCATTTTTTTGGACAATGAGACTCTCTGTTTAGTTTTGTAATCCAAGTAAGGCTTTATTGATTTTGAAAAGATGATATTGCCCCTGAATATTTAAATTACTTTTATTCTAAAATATCAGGCATGACAAAATGTCTAATATACCCCTCAGTTAATAACAACCTACCCCACCACCCCTTTATTTCACCTTTGCCTCTCTCACTAACTTTTCCATTTCTCTACAGGTCTGAAAGAAAAACAAAGCTTTTTTCCTTTCATTTCTCTATCTCGATCTCGATCTCTCTAACTTTTTATCTATTGCAAAAATGGAACATTTATTTCTGCAAACATGAACCATCATTCGAAGCCCTAGTATAAATCGTGCCTATTTTTCTCTTTCTCTCTTTATCAAATTTCTGGAACGCTAAAGTTGGTCGCTTGGTGTGATCAACCATTCGGATTCTTGGTGGTTTGTGTTGTTCATTTTTCTGTTCTTCACTTTCTCTGTAAGTGATCTAATCTTTCCTTTGCTGCATATATGATGACTTAGTGCTTCTTTGTTATGTAACTTTAGATATTGAGGGTTCTTTGATGGGGGTTTGTGATGGGGGTTTTTTGATGGTTTTTTTTTTTTTTTTTTTTTTTTTTTTCATGAATGCTAAGGACCTATTTGGTATCTGTTTTGTTTTGTTTTTGGCCTGCTACAGTAGTCCTTTTGAAGCCTAAAATATGTTTGGCTGGGCTTGTTGTGTTTTAAATAGTTCCAAAACAATTTCAAAAATAGGCCCAAAATATGAAACACCATTTTGGTGTTTTTTCATGTTTCGGCACTGTTTGGGCTACAAATTACTGTAGCGGAGGAAACAATTCTTTCATTAAACTGTAGCAACTATAACACGTATAAAAGGCAAAATGTCATTTTCTAGGGTTTTGTTTGGCGCAGCTGTTTTTGGCGATTTTGGGCGATCGTAAATCATTTCCAATCACCTCCATC